ATATATAGAGAGAGAGAGAGAGATAGAGAGATAGGTTCAGGTGTTTAAAGTAATTATTGTGTGATTGTATGCATAAATATAGACCAATCAAAATTAAATAAATAATTAAATAATTAAATATACTAATAAGGATAGATTAGTAATATTACATTGTATGTATTAATTAATATCTAAAATAAAAAACTGATATCCTTTATTTAAAGGATGGATTCCTTAAATCTGGCTTCCATCTCAATAAACCTAAACTACGCTCTGATCTTTTTAGGAGGCGCCAGATCAGCCTCCACCAAGCCACCATTGCCGTCCACCTCCCCGTCGGATTCAAATTCTTGTTTTTTCTGCATCTGATCGGTGATCAGTAGTTCACGGAGAACCAATAGCCTACGATACGGTGGTAGGCGGTGGGATTGTAACCGGTGGAAAGATTCTTAAAACCAGTTATAAAGTTTTGTGGGGAACTTTCTCGTGATGCTTCCACCTCATCCTGAAGAAGAACCTGCTTCCTCATTTTTACGCTAATTTTCCAGTCGACGTTTCTCTCTAGCGACGCCCACCTCCTGCCAATCTTCCAGTCGCTGCCTTTCCGCCAACGCCGCCCCTCCTCCAGAAAATTAGTAAGTTTCTCTGCTCAATCTATGAAATCGATTTTTTTGAAACTGAAGTTGAAATCTGAAATCGATTTTCAATGCTTCACCACTTTTTCTCAAAGAAAAAAAGTGCTTGCCCACCTAGCTTACAATGGAAAGTAGAATTCCCTTTGAATATTCAGTTCTACAAACGCCTTTATTTACTTTATTGATGGGGTTCACGTGGGACGCCTTTGCAGGTGGTGTTGATTACAATCTTCTATCACTTTTAAGATTTACAATTTTGCTCATGGAATTGTGATTAACTGGATAAGGATTTGCAATTGGAAACGGACTCACTGAACCTGGAATCCAATTCAAGGCGGATGTTGATTTCGCTTTGGAAAATCAGTTAATTACAAAAAAATATTACAATGAATTGATTCAAATAGTACCAAAGTGTGAAGAAGCAGCAAACAAATGCAGTAATTCATTATTTAAGCTAATTTTCGTTAATGTTGTATATATACTTGAGAGGTTTTCTGGTTTTTTAGGGACAAATGGTAAAGACAGTTGCCTTGATGCCCTGAACATATGTGGGGAAATTCACTCCAAGATTTTGTTTGTTAGCAATATATGTGTAAGTAAGCGATTAAATATCCTGCAATCATAACTGGAAGTGTAATTCATATGTAATAGAAACAATTGTTGTATAACAGCCTTACGAATTCCAATTATGTTGGAATCACAGAAGGTGATGCTTGAAGAACGGACCACATTATTCTTTTAGAATGTATTAGTCGTTGTTAGAATTTGATGTTTTCTTTCCCGTTTTGAAAATTTTTTTAGTTTTATTCTTTAACAATAAATGTAATTCTTAACAATTGTTACCCGTATTCTATAAGAAATAATGTATTTTTGTTTTTATTCTTCAATTAATGTTCAAGAATTTGTTATTCTACAAGAAGTTTTTAAATTCATGATCAAGAAATAGGTTCAAGAATATTTTTATTATTTATGGTTCAAGAATATTTTTATTTTTGAATATATACTCATAAACATATTCTGTCAGAATGTCCGAATTAAAAGAATTATAATTCGTAAAATCGGATTTTTAAAATTAATAGAATCTATGATCCCTTAAAAAATGAAATTTTACTTTATTAATCTATATTAATTGACTAAATTACCCTTGTAATTAATTAAGATGATATTTTTCAATTATATTTAATTCAATAATATATATTAATCACTTTCTTAAAATAAGTAAATTTGATTGACCCACATTTATGCATACAATAACACAATAATTACTTTGAATAGAATAACCTAAGCCTATATATATATAGATATATATATATATATATATATATAGATATATAATATATATTATTCAAGCAAGTGATATTACATATTATGAATTAAATATAATTCAAAAATACCATCTATTCTAACTAGAAGAGTATTTTAGTCAATTAATATAGTTATTAAAGGAAATTTGCATATTTTAAGGGATCATATATTCTATTAATTTTAAAAATCCGATTTTATGAATTATAAGGTTTTTAATTCGGACATTCTGACAGAATATGTTATAGTATGTTCAAAAATAAAAATATTCTTGAACCATAAAATAAATAAAAATATTCTTGAACATATTTCTTGATCATGACTTTAAAAATTTCTTGTAGAATAACAAAATTCTCGAACCATTAATTGAAGAATTAAAATAAAAATTACATTAATTCTTATATAATACATGTCACAATTGCTAACAATTACATCTATTGTTAAAGAATAAAACTAAAAAACTTTCAAATCGGGAAAAAAAACATCATAATCTGACAAATACACTAATACATTCTAAAAGAATAATGTTGCTAAGAAACACTTTCAATTTTGTTGTCGGTTCTTCAAGCATCAACTTTTTCAAGCATCAACTTCTGTGAAAACAAATCCAATTGTAGTTTAGGATCCAATAACGCATTAGCGAATGATAAATAAAAAACTATATTCGTTTGGAAAAATATGCGGACTTGTTAATTGCACCAAACCAATAACCAAAAATTGTAGAACATGTATAATCAATGATAAAATATCCATATTCCATTCAAACAGAATTAGAATTCGTGTTTCCATTCCGATAGAATTTGAATTCGTGATTCCATTCAGATAGAATTGGAATTGTATAAAATACACAAACCACTAAGGGATTACTAGAATATTGATTTAGTACTTAGTAGTAGCAAATAGTTACATAATCGAATTAGTTACTCATGTGTTCTAACAAAAACATAGTATAACAACAAAAATGCCAACAAAAAAATTTCATAGAGTGTAAAGATTAAAAAATACATCACAATATATGTAACACATAATAAGAATTAAAAAAAATGTATGTAGATATTTAGTAAGTAGGATAGTAGTACCCGGATCCGTTTATAGGTGGAGCTCCATAAGGCATCATGGGTGGTTGACCCGGTGCAACATACCCACCATTATTGATTTTAGCCAAACTAACTTGACATTGCATTCCATCTCTCGCATACTGATTCCAAACCATCTGTTCTTGAACAAGCAAGTGTTGTTTCTTTTCAATGTCCGCCATTTAGACATAAGCAGGTAGTGGGACACTTAACGAAGCAGCAAACGGGTCACCACCCACGGGTTGAACTGACCCGTCAGGATCCGGGAGAGCCAACACCCGGTGTGGCGGACGACTTCCCCGGTAAAGCCACACTACTTGCACTGCCGCCACTCAAACTGGTGGTGCTCACATGTTGCCTCACTATTCCCTGGTCATACATTCCGTTCAACAACAACGGATCAATGGTGGATATTGTGCACACCAACAAGAAATCGAGAAATAGAAAAAAGGGGAAATAGAGAGTGGGGATGTTGGTTTCTTTGTTTTGGGTGTTTCTTGAATTCTTGTTTCCTGATACATATTCTTGAATTAGGCTTAAGCTCGATAAAGCAAGATGATGAAGTTGAGAAATCTGGATCGAGGAAAAGGAAAAACTAGTACAGAGGAATCTGTCAACGACCTTGGGGTATTGATTTGCCTCACTATTCCCTGTTCATACATTCTGTTCAAAAACCCTAGAGAGAAAAAGAGGAATTGAGGTGAATCAGAAGGGAACTCAAAAAATGGACACAGAAGGGGAACTCATCGGCTCCTTTCTTCTTCATTTATGCCTTCAATCTTCCCAGACCTCCCGCACTCGTTCCAGAATCTCCTGATGATCCATCTTCCGTTGCTGATTGGGACGAATTCGGTGAATCATAAGCCGATTGAGGGTGGAGATGTTTTACCGGCGGCCATAACAGCGAATGGCGGCTGGAGATCGGCGGCAACAACAAACAATGGTGGTGGCGGCAACAGCAAACGATGGTGGTGGCGATCTTCTGTGGGCGTTGGTCGATGGAGTGACTTCAAGGTTTTATAAACCTGGAGAAATTAGGTTAAAAGTCAATACCATGATTATAGGGATTAATTTTGGAAGTTACTAAACAAATTACTAAATTACCCTTATTTATTTATTTAATTATTTAATTTTTTATTTAATTTTGATTGGCCCAAATTTATGCATACAATAACACAATAATTACTTTGAACACCTGAACCTATATATATATATATATAGATATTATTATATATTATATATTATATATATACACATATAGGGGATAGGGCAACTATTACATACAGCCCCACCTAAGCTTAGGTACTAAACTTCTAAAATATGTCGTTTTAACATGCTAAATATACCCGATTTGGTTTCACTTGGTAAATATATCATCCTCAATAACATTTCTTTCTTTCATTATCGTTTTACCATCGTGGTTTCTTTCCTCAATTATCGTTTATTACTTCACCCAAGTGAACATTACTAAACCCTAAATTTAAACCATAAACCCTTTTCCCTAAACCCTAAACCCTAAATCTAAACCCTAAACCTAAACCTAAACCCTAAACCCTAAATCTAAACCCTAAACCCTAAACCCTAAACCTAAACCTAAACCCTAAACCCTAAATCTAAACCCTAAACCCTAAACCCTAAACCCTATTGTGTCGATCTTGAATTTACATCTGAAGTATTAATCGTGAATCCATTAACCGTAATCTTTATATAGTAAAAACATGTATTTTCAAGAGGTTTAGTACCTAAGCTTAGGTGAGAGGCTGTGTATTTGGTGTTGTTGTAATGTATATCCCTTTTTCCATATATATATATATATATATATATATAATATAATATATATATATATATATATATATATATATATAATTTTTTTTTCATTACTGTTTGTATTCCATATCTATTATCAGTCATTTCTGTTCAACCAAACACGTCCTAAATAAATTATAAATTATTCAGCTAATTAACACGATGATCTTTGATTTACAATATCAAACCACCTAGTCAACTAAGAATCGATGAAAAGTCAACGATTTGTCGATGATATACGTTTCTGCTTACGTTTCATGGAAAACACTTTCTAGTTCTACAAGGGAAATCTCTCTCTCGGATCACATATCTATCTCCAATAATCTTCTTATTTTTGGAGTAGCCAAACTGCAGCAATCTTTTAATCAAGTTACTTATTGTGTTGATCGACTTTAACCTCGCAAAAAAGAAATGAGTACAGGGGAGCTTCTCAACGTCGAGCCTGTGGAGCTCAAATTCCCTTGTAAGTCCTTGGATCCCATAAAATCTTGTCAAATAAACCGCCTTTTGTTATGTGATTCTGAAACTTGTTCTCTCTTGTTTTTTGTTTGATTAAATTAGTCGAACTGAAGAAACAGATATCTTGCTCCATTCAGTTGTCGAATAAGACAGAGAATCATGTAGCTTTCAAGGTAACATTCTACTAAATTCTTAATCAAAAATTTAATTTTGATTTTTATGTCAATTGATCTCGGATGGATTTGTTTTGATGGATTATGTTGCATTTTTCTTTTCGAACTTTGGTTATGATCTAAAATTTCGAGGAAAGGGGTTAGGGTTTCTAAATTTTTGACGAAAAAATTCAGGTGAAGACTACGAATCCGAAGAAATACTGTGTTCGTCCGAATAGTGGAGTTGTCTTGCCTCGATCAACCTGTGACGTTACAGGTATGATTTCCCCTAAATTTAGTTTTTGACATCCAGAAACCGAATGAAAGAAGGTGAGGTTTTCAGTATTTGTGGTTTCTGCTACAGTAACGATGCAAGCTCAGAAGGAAGCCCCTGTTGACTTGCAATGTAAGGATAAGTTTCTCCTTCAGAGTGTAGTTGCAGGTCCAGGAGCAACCACAAAGGATGTTACCCCTGAAATGGTAAGAAGATTTGAGAATTTGATAGCTTTTTGATATGGTGATTTTGTGTTAATTTAAACTACAGTTCAGTAAGGAGGCAGGACATGCTGTTGAAGAGTGGAAATTGAGAGTTATTTATCTTCCTCCACCCCAACGACCTTCACCAGTTCCAGAAGAAGAAGCAGAGGAAGGATCTTCACCAAAAGCTACAATATCCGATAATGGGAATTCTTCTAGTGAGGTTTGTTTTACTTTTACTTTTATTTAAAGGTTTTTAGATCTAATAAACAAGGGCATGTATTTTCAGATGAAATCTCTTATTTCAAAGTTGACAGATGAGAAAGATGCTGCTATCAAACAAAGTAACAGAATCCGTCAAGAAATGGTGAGTTTGATGGTGTTAATGGATGATGATCTATCTGTTAAAAAAATGTTAATGTTTGGTAATTCTTTGTGTAGGAACTATTGAGGCGTGGAGGCAACAAAACTCAAGCTGATCGTTTCTCGTTCATCTTTGTTATTGTGGTGGGGTTGATCGGTCTACTTTTGGGCTACATCATCAAGAAGTAATTTGTTTTCTTTTAAGTTGTTAAAAATTTATGTACAACAGAGAGGAGTGATGTTTTTGATTAATTCTTTTTTCTTTTTCTCTTTCTGATTATAGTATTATGACCATTAGAACTTGAAAGAGGACATTGTTTACATATTCTTTTGTGATTCTTGTGATAGATTAATCCATACCATGCATACGCCTTTGGAATGCGCTGGTAACCAGTTTTCTTCTCACAACAATAGTTCGGATGGAATCGATTAATTGTACATTATCTTGTTTTTCAATATTCACTTCTAACAAGTTATTCAATGCAATGAAGTCTAGGTTTGTTTATGCAAAATTTCCAAGCTAAAATGAAATTCTGATTCTAAAATTAAAATACAGTCCAATGTTTTTGATTTTGGTTGTGTTTACCAACCTAGTTGACAAAGGTAACTTATAAACTAACTAATAAAGTAATAACGTTTAATAAAAACTACCTGATAATCTAAATGTCAATTACCAAGGGGTTGAAGGTTGAAGTCTCGCTTGAGACATTAATACACAATTTATGATAAGATTAGGAGCCGTTGAGAAGAACTAGATTTCAATTATAAAATGACATGTAGATATATAACTAAAATGAGGTTAACATAAAATTTGGGTACCACCCATAAAAGTTGTCCTAACGAGTTTCTAAGTTTTTTCTATAAATTTACTTTTGTACAACTTTATTTTAAATTGTTTTTTTTTCCAACTCTTTGTCTAGCTCTCTTCATTCTTCAAACTTCTTTTACATGTTTTTAACAAATATGTAAAAGTGAATATGTTAAAAAACATTGTATGTCTTTTACAACTTTTGTTCATTAGAATAAATATGTACAAAAATGAACGCATACTGGCAAATACGAATAATCTCAAATTTTTTTGTATAAACGATTGAGGATGTTGGGAAAATTTTGTAAAAAACACTTGCACAAATAGCTACGAAAATATGTAAAATAATTGTAAAAAAGTTTGAGCATATAAAGGTTATTTGAAAAACCTATGACAAAATATATCATAAGGTATCTGAAATAACTTTTTAAAAGCTACTTTAGTGATCTTATTAAAACACGAACTTGCAATAATTTTATATAAAAAAACTAGCTTATAAACTAACGAATCAAATAGAACCTTAATCATAGACAACTGCAAGTCTCCAACCACAACAAGTTTACATCTACAATATCCCTTTTACATCTCTGTACCGGCTAGAGGTGCACATATACCGGTTTTGAACCGATTTTGGTTTTCAGAAAACCATTTTTTAAAACCGGTTATTGCCCAACATGATTCGGTTATAATTGGTTCGGTTTTTTTTAACTGAAATTTCATTAAATAAAACAGTCGTGTGTTGGGAAAACTGGTTCCTAGAAAACCAGCTTCGGTTCGTTTGTAGGTGTTTTCAAAAAACCGGTTTGAAAGGTGCTAACATTCATGTCCAAATATTTTATGGGCCCTATCTACATTAAAAAAGGCCCCAAATCCGTATGCAGTAATATGAAGATTATCAATTTAAATGAGCCTTGAAAAAAAAACTCCTTGACAGAGAACCTTTGGAAAATATTCAAATCCATTGACTAGTTTGTTGATTGTAAATGGATATAAGAATTAAATTAATTCAAAGTATAATTTTTTTTATAAGATTTGAACCCACATCCTATTCGTAGGAGGTTAAATAGCTAACTTTGCCGACATTTTTCCATCATAACTAAAATCTATTTCTAGATAACTGTTATATATTAGACCTTTTTATATTTTTGGAAAATACTGGAGTACATTATGGAGCTGAGCTTGAGTATTGGAATACTTGGCTTGTGAAACTCGCAAGCTTAATTGAGCATTGTTATATTTATATTTTTATCCTTTGGTTTATTCATATTTACGTTTTATATAACCGAATTGAGACGAACTCACGAGCTTAATATAATTTCTGTTGTAGTTTAATGTAATTTTAATTTTCTAATAGCAAATTGAGAAGAGTCGAGCCGAGCTCGAAAATATCGGTTACTTTATCGTGCTCGAGCTCGAGCTTGAATTTAAGGCTCGAGTTGAATTTCAAGCTCAAATTTTCTCTAATCGAGTCAAGTTTCGAGCTTGTCAGTATTCAACTCGACTCCGCTTGATTACATCCTATTAAAACCACACGTGAAACCACGTTGGCTTAAAACTTGCAAAACCACACACAGCATAATATCGACAATATTTACATAAAGAGTTTATCTTTAGATAACGAAATGGACACAGTTCAATTTTATTATCCATTACTTTTATAGTAATATTCAAAAGATTAAATTAAAACAAAAATAATTGTTGTGCTACGGAAGAAAAAAGGAGATTTTAAAAATGAAAAAGCGCATTACTACCGATTCCAGAAACATGGAGTGTCTTTCTGGAAGAATCGACACCTCTCTTCAAGCTTCTCATTTCTCCACCTATATATACGTATGTATATCACCGGACCTGCTTTGCTTCACAACTCAACAAATCAAGTGACTTGACAGTTAAAGTCGTCATCCAGTAAAGAATCTAAACCTAGACAATAGTCATCAATTGTTATCGGAGAAATGGCAGCTTCACTCGCTGTTAAGAGGGGCACCATTGGCGTTGCAACCGTGCTTAACAAGCTATTGAATCCACTCCGATCTGTTTTTGCTGTTCCTTCCGTCCAACGGTGCTTCAACACTAATTCGTCCCAGATGACAGCCTATGACGATGACAATCGCGGTGTCGATGTCGATCGCCGCGCCGATACAACTGTCTCTCGCCGCCGTGATAATGATCTATTTTCCGGTGAGTAACCGTCAAACCTAATTGTCTTTGCTTCCAGTTACTCGGTGTCTCTTTTTCTACTTGATTGTCTTAGTGGCTTATCTAAAATAATCGCAATTTCGAAATTATCTCTCATCAGATTTTGTTGTTTCGGTTGACGAATTGTCGGTTTTCCTATTAACATCTCCAATTTGCACTGGTTTCAGACCTATTCGATCCGTTTTCTCCACCGAGAAGCCTAAGCCAGATCTTCAACATGATGGATCAGTTCATGGGGAATCCGCTTATGTCGAGCTCTCGAGGAGGAGGATTCGGTACGAGACGGGGATGGGACGCAAAGGAAGACAACGATTCTCTCAACTTTCGGTTCGACATGCCAGGTATAGACAAAGACAACGTTAAGATCTCTGTGGAGCAGAACACTCTGGTGATTCGTGCAGAGGCGGAGAAGGAAACGGAGGATGAGGAGGAGCCGCCGCGGAGGTACTCTAGCAGGATTGATCTGCCGCTAAACGCATACAAGGTTGATGAAATAAAGGCGGAGCTGAAGAACGGTGTGCTGAAAATTAGGGTTCCGAAAGTGAAGGAAGAGGAGAGGAAAGATGTGAGGCAGATTCAGGTGGAGTGAATAGTGATGGTGTGGATATGTTGAGACTTCTACTTTTGTTTTTTGTTTATGTGATGATGATGTGTCCGTTTTCTAGTGATATATGGAGTGAAAAAATAATAATATAGTTTTCAATGGGAATTCAAATTCTTCTCATTAACCATAATCTTTTTACTGTCAATTTATCATCATTATAGATGCAATTTATCATCATAACTCCAGTGATAGAATCAAGCAAGTTGTTTTGTGGTTTGGCTGGTATTGGCTGCCGGTGGAGCTGGGCTTCATTTGCATCGTCAACTGTTTTTCTGATACTACCACACACATACACATGTTCTCTTCTCTTGATCCATGATCCATCGTTTTCTTCTCCAATGGAATCCATTCCCTTCATCTACCGACTTCTCTTAATCACTTGATGATGATGCCATTTCAAAATCTTTAATCTTATTTATGGGTTCTTCTAGATATTGGTTTTCCCACCATTGACACACCTGTCGACCTCGATTGGCCGTGTTTGCACCCTCTTCTGAATCAATGGGTCCATCATTCTTATACACTTAACCCGTTGAGATGATTTTCTTTTGCCCCTGTTCAGTTCGTTTCTACTGTTTTTTAACCTAAATTGAAATTTGCTATTCAGCTCCGCCAATTAGCGTCTTCCCCGTCTTCTTCATCGAGTTCCTGGTTGTCCGTAGGTAAGCATTTCACAATAACTAAAGTAGGAAAACAACGTTCGAGATCATCATCGTCATAATCGAAAGTTCTTCTTCTCGACCTTTAATTAATGTCCGCTCTCCGATTCAGTCTATCCAAAACCTATGAGGTACACTTTCAATTTCATATGTTTACAATTTTTGGAAATTTTGATGATGTTTTTGAACTGTTAAAACCCTAAATTTCATATGTTTTTTTTTTCAATTGTTGATTGTTTTTCGACATACGTCAAAGGATGGTGAACAGGATGGGTTTATTTACCATTTACGATTACGATCTTATTTAAAATTTGTTAGTTTTCCGTGGTTAAAGCATTTGACACGATTTCGTTAGCCTGGGTTTATTCATAACATTATCTTCCATAGGTTCAATTTCCTGGACATTAGACTTACGCGTAACTTTCAGCATTTTGGCCTTAGGTTATAAGCTTGAACCTTTCCAATTTTGCTAAACTTTCGGCCTGAGGTTATAGGCTTGAACCTTTCCAATTTTGCTAAAGGCAGATCAAAATTGCTCACTTAAGTCTTTATGTGTATATAATATTGTCTGTTTTTTTTTAACGGCAAATACAAATATATGCTAAACTACTCTTAAATTATTCCATCTATATTCACAGTTAGACTTGAACCCTCGACCTCAAGGAGGGAGGACAACACCGGATACCGCTGGACTAGAAGCCCTTTGGTGTGTATTTGTTACTTTCTTGTGTTGGTGTGTGTATTTGTTACTTTCTTGTGCAGGTACTGTAACAAGTAAAAATTTACCTTCAATTCCATTCTCGAAGGTATGTTATGACTACTAATTTACTAAATATTGTCAATTTTAATGAAACTTGAATCCCAAATGTTGCAATCATAGGACTGTGAAGATATGAACCGGAAAGGGGGTGAGGATATGATAAAGACTATAGGCAAAGGAGTGGAACTCATAAATTGTAGTATCAAAGGATTGTAAGCACTCATGTTTCTTTCTTTCCTTTTAAACTATCACCTCCTTTGACCATATAATTAGGACCGACAAAATTGTACCACGGAAAACCAATCAACATGTTACCAACCAAACCAAGAAACTTGGTAGCCAGGGGCGGATCCCTTTAGGGGCAGGGGAGGCCATGGCCCCCCTGCTTTTTAACCTGCTAATACCTGTATACATATATATATTTAAGTTATGTACAAGTTATTCAAAGGAGAAGGACGTGATTATAGAAACTTGAAAGGAAATCACGTAAAAATCTAAACTATTTGAGGATATCTATAATTCCTAATTTGGAGGAAAACTTATCTTCCTAAAAGAAAAAGATTACAATTTTATAGTATTTAATAACCGTGGAAAGAAAAGATAAACAAAAAAGATTATAAAAGAAATAAAACCAAAAACCTAAACCTTAATCATATGTCATCGGCTGACGCCTCTCTTCTTGTCGTCTCTGTTATATGATTTTCCTTCTCCGGTAAGTTCTGAGTCGATGAACTCCTGTGATCGATCGTCCGGGCTCTCAGCCTCTCTCGCTTTCACGACTCCGATCGCCGGAGCACCTACCGACTGCGGTTAATCTCTACAGCCTTGCTTACTTGTAAGTCTGATACTATACATCTTCTTTCCCTCTTGTCTTGTTTCTTCTTTCCCCCTCTTGTCTTGTTTTTTGTTCTTTTTCTTATTATAGATTTTAGAGTATTGCTTTAAAGTTTTTTTTATTGCTTTTTATTTACTTATCTATGAGTATAGTACATTAGTAGCCTGTGGTCACTTATGCGTCTCTATGCTACATTGAGCCTCACAATCACTCAGACTACAACGATAGTTGCTGACCTTTTTTTCTTTTCATAGATACTCACATGACATATGATTATCAGTTATATATATGTTACTAAATTGTTTAGGAAATAGTTTTTGTTTTTTTTCTTAGGAG